CTCTGCTTAGTTATAAACTAAACTTTATCACAGGTTATATATGTATAGGGAAAAACATAGTCTATATAGGACTTAATCCTATCCGTGGCTTCAGATGTTGGGGATCTTGGAATATATTCCCTGGTAAGGCAGGTGTTGTCTGAATTTTGGATCGGGTTTTTTGGTTTTTATTCTCAGAATATACAAAAATGCAGGTTGAGGCAGCCATCGAGAGGCCTCTTCCCCTTCCCTTCCTCTACTGCTTCCTCCTCCTCTGAATGCCAGAGAGAACCCAGTTGAAGGAAACATGCAGTAATAATGATCAAATCCAAAGACAAAGTTTTGATCCAGAAGAACTCAACATGATTACCCAGCTACTGCAGGGAGCTTCCGAGTAGGATTAAGATATTACAGATGTAGTGTTTCCACAGGCTGGCTCTTCACTGCATGGGCTGCTTGAGGGCAGGATACGCAGGAAACTGCTTGCTGGACTTAAAGTCACCCAGCCAGGGCACTGTTCCCATTCAGTGCCCGGGGACAACTTGTCGATGTCATTCATAAAGGCTTCTGATGCCTAGCTGTAAACTACTAACACAGTGGTTGCTTCAAAGACTTAGTACCAAAAAGAATAAGATCTCTCATTAATCATCTTTTAATAGGGATTATATGTTGAAATATTTTGTATATATTGGATTAAGTATCAAAATTTCATGTTTTTAATATGGCTAGAAAAATGTAGAACTACATCTAGCTTACATTTCTTTTGAACAGTGCTGTTCTAGCATCAACTCCAAGGGATTATCTGCATTTATTAGCAGTGCGTGGTTTCAGAAATTGGGCCCAATCAAAGTTTAACAGCTTCCTCTTATAGTAATTAGAACTGGTGTATTGGATTTCAGAGGGAGTGAACTTTTTTCTCTTCTAATTTGTAGGAAGAGCAGTAAACCTCATGAAGACATCATTGGCATCAGATCTCAAAACCAAGGCTCTTTGGCACAGGGAAAGAATTTTTTAATGAGCAAATTTTCATCTCTAAATCAAAAAGTGAAACAGACCAAATCTAATGTAAATATTGGCAATCTACGAAAGCTAGGAAACTTTGCCAAACCTGAAATGAAAGTTAACTTTCTAAAACCCAACTTAAAAGTGAATCTTTGGAAGTCAGATAGTAGTCTTGAAACCATGGAAACCACAGGTGTGCTGGATAACAAAGTCCAGGCAGAGTCGGATGGGGAAATGTCTTCGGAGAATGACTCCTACCACTCTGATGAATTCCTTACAAATTCCAAATCTGATGAAGACAAACAGCTAGCTAATTCTTTAGAGAACGTAGGGCCAAGAGACTATGTTCTTCCTAGTTGTGGTATTATTGCTTCCGCGCCTCGGTTAGGCAGCCGGTCCCAGTCCATCAGCAGCACTGATCTTAGCATTCACGTTCCTTCAGAGACTGTTGCCCCTGGAAGTGGGTCTGGAAAAGGCCACGAGTCTCCTTTGAAGAAAAGTCCTTCTGCTGACAACATATACATATTGACTGGCTTTGCCAAGCCTGTGGACGTTTACTGCCATAGATTTGTACAAGACGCACAAAACAAAATGACCCAGCTGTCAGAACCAGGGTCCGTTTCTCAGCAGGTTAGTGAGGAAGGCAATCAAATGACCAATCAAATTTCTAAAGAAGAAACACACTCTGAATCAGCAGCACAGATACCTTCTCGGCCGTCTCAGTTAGATGTGTCTTTTCCTGCAGCAGGTCCCCAGTACTTGTCCGTCGAACCAGTGCATCCAGCTGTATCTCAAAAGACCCCTGGTTCTGGCTCCAGCATGGCTGAATTTGAGACAGGCCTTCACGTAACTCCTTCTCCTTCAGAGGGCAGTAGCAGCAGAGCAGTCTCTCCCTTTGCAAAGATTCGAAGTTCCATGGTCCAAGTTGCTAGTATCACCCAAGCTGGCTTCACCCAGGGGATCCACTTCGCAGTGGCAAAGGTTCAGAAGAGCCCTGCAGAACCTGAAGGGGTTAATGAAGTCCAGCAAAATGAACTTAAAAATATGTTTACACAATGCCAGACACGAATAATTCAGATTTAATTTTTAGCCACAAAGAATCCTATGGCTTTTATTTAATCCAAAAAGGGGTTTCACATATTAGGCTATTTTAACCTGTTGTTTTTGAAGCTAGGGATCACAAATTCTAATTATGTTTATCGGGAAAGTTTTTAAAAGGAGCTGAACTTGGGCAGATTTCCAGATTTGAGAGCCAGGACGGAAGAAGTGTGTCATCCTAGAACGTGTAAACGTGAGTAGCTCATACACTACAGAGCAGTTGGGTGTCTGAAAGTAATTTGGGGATAATTACTTAGAGACATAATAACCTGAACCTTTTGTGCAGTGGGTGGATAAGTGAAGCATAGGAAGTAAACACGAAGGATGAACATGGACACATTTAGGGGAATAGCTTTTTCATAATTTGTCTTCTGTTTGTCCATTCATTTCTGTGTTAAATATTTAGTTTTTAGTGACTTTTGAATGTTACTAGTACGAAGAAGCATTTGAATATTAAAAAACTCTAGTTTAGTTTTGATGGCTTAACCATTCCCTATTAAGAGTAAATTGAGGGTTACTGGCACTGCAGTCAAGAAAGGTATATGCCCATTTGATCCTGATTTTCCCCATAGTTTACTTAAATTTAAAATACTCTGCCCCTTGTACACCCCAAAGTCTAGAATTAAAGACCTGTCAGTCATAAAACCTGAGACACCAGATGTAACTACCAGCACCTATTAAATTATTCTGTTTTTAGGAATGGAAGACTACATTTATCAGATACTGGTAATTCTTGAAATGAATGTTCAGGTTGTAAGTTTTTGCAGGGGAATATTCCTTAACCTCTTGTCTAGACTATAAACCGCAGAAAATTTAGTCTGATGCACAGCTGTACTAGAACTGATTCATGACTATAATCCTGACCCCATGGAACCGTGGCCTCAGAAAAGCCCATACAAGAATGTTGCACACCTTATTCCAAACAAGTATTGGTTTGTCTGGTATCTTTAGAGCCTTACTCTGTTGAAGTGATTCTCAGCTAAACATTATGTCTGTTGTAACTTTGATAAGTATTTCAACATTTGTTATTTATTAGTGGTATCTTTTTTTTGGAAGTGTCAAATCTTGTGACTATTTAAAATAAAACACCATTGTAATTTAAAGTGACAACGTGTATGAGAATTCCTTAAATAATACTTTAAAGATAATGTTGATCTCTAAATCAGGTTAAAAAATTCACAAGGTAAATTTGCTATAACTGATCACTTGGGTCTCAGCCTTTCCAGTATTTTTCATTCTTAAGTTTTTATATGTAGACTTTAAAAATGAAATGCATCACAAACCATCAAATTTTAAACATCCAAACACTGAAACTGAACGCTTTATTCTGTTCTTTTCTTCTGGTCTTGAAAGTATTAAAGTGTGGCACAATGGGAGAGAAAATAAAAGCAAAGGTCAAGTGATAAATGTATCTTTTAAGCTCCACGAAATGTGTCCCAAAGAGATTTGTGGAAACTAAAAAGAAGGCAATGTTTAATTCCAGGCAGGGTGTTATGTTCAGTTTCCCACTGACTCAAATAGGAATAGCAAACGTTCCTGTGCAGTGTGTGGGCAAACCAGGAAAGAAAGGTGGTTCTGAAGCCCAGGTTCCAGGCTCGTTCCCCAGTGGGAACCCAACAGGAGACTGCACGACCACCCATGGTAAGCTTTTAGTAAAGGTTTCCCATAAGGAGGGCGTCGGACCTTTTCTCACGCATCATGGGGTAAGTCTTACAATAATGAAAAATAACCCAAAGTACTAATAATTGGGGAAGTTTTGTTTATTTGAAAGAGCATTTTCCTTTCAAGGGAACTTTTCTGCAAGATCAAGCAAATTATGTACTTCCTTTGGTAAATTACAATTCACGTTTGCACAATAACCACAGTAACTAATCTACTCTCTGGAATTTTGTTCCCACAAATCCAGTTGAATCTTCATTTTGTTTCTAAAAGATTAAGGAAGTTTACTCTACCAGTTATAAAAATGAAAACCAGTTAGAATTCTAAATATAAACATTATTTACATTAGTTTGTAAAAACAGATTGGAGTTTAGGAAAAGTTAAATAGTCGTTTCTACTTCAGTTCATTAGGCATAATGAATTCCTTGCTTTTCAAGGCTGACCCTGTTTCCTTGTTTAGCAATATCAATTTGGAGGGGGCGGGGGAAGGGTGCCAAAACAATACTTACAGGATCATTTAGCTGATCTGTGTCCCACTAGGTAAGTTACTGGCTTTTAAAAAAAAAAAAAACAAAAAAAAAACATTAATCTTCATACATAACCACTGATAACTTAAAAAAATGGTCTAAACTTTCCAAACATTCTTGATACCACAATTACACTACTATACTGTATTAAATTGCTTTCTAAGTATGGGTAATGATATTTTTGTTACTTTAAAAACTTTGAGCGGTGCCTGGGTGGCTCAGTGGGTTAAAGCCTCTGCATTCGGCTCGGGTCATGATCCCAGTTTCCTGGGATCGAGCCCCACATTGGTCTCTCTGCTTGGCAGGGAGCCTGCTTCCCTTCCTCTGCCTGCCTCTCTGCCTACTTACGGTCTCTCTTTGTCAAATAAATAAAACCTTTAAAAAAAAAAAAAAACTTTTACGTTAGGGGCACCTGGGTGACTCAGTCACAGTTAAGCTTCTGCCTTTGGCTCAGGTCATGATCCTGGTGTCTTGGGATAGAGCCCCGCATCAGGCTCTCTGCTCAGCAGGAAACCTGCTTCCCCCTCTCCCTCTGTTTCTGTCAAATAAATATAATCTTTAAAAAAAAAAAAATGTTAAATCTGTAATTGGTCTGGGAAAAACTTACCTGTGGCTTTCTTGAGTATTCCTGGATTCGCAGATATGTTCGTTGACTAACACATCTGGAACTAATGGAAAAACTTACACAAAAGTTTAAAATCCAACACCATCATCAAAGCAACTAAATGACAATTATTAGGAAAACAATTGAAAACTTTATTTTCTACAGAAGGCATATTTTAAAAAGTTAACTTTGCTTTCTTCCTATTTGGGCAAAACAACCTATCCTAGGGCAGCATTCCTTTAAGTTCCATAAAACAGTGGTTCCCAAATGCACGGGGGTGAAATGAGAAAAATAAGGACAATGTAGTGTTTTTTTTCCAAAAAAGCTATATTTATTCCATTTAAAGGACTCTCATTCTGAGACTGTCCTTTCATGAAAAAAAAAAAAAAGTGATATAATACAGTGGTTTCTTTCAGATTACTTGGCAAAATACATTGGCAACCCTGTCCCCCAAATTTTTGGAAATGTTACTGGTCCATGGAATCCAAAAGTCTGGGAACCACTGCCATGTAAAAAAGACTAATTCTGTAGGTTATTAACAACTGTTTAAGTGGAAAAAAACTTCTGTGGTCAAATGTTTGGGAAACGATACTACAGAATTTCACACAGTTATGTGAATTTAATGGCAGGTACACCCCATTCCCCAAACTTCGACCACTAAACACATTCAGACCCACTGTTAATTGGAAAGACATTGTAAAAATCTCAAGTGAACAACTCCTCTGACTTTGGAATTCCAACAATTTTCAAGTGAAGCTGACATTAGCATCAACAGAATCTGACCTATGACTTAGCTGAAACTAAGGAAATGGTATCAGCAACATTATCGTCAATATTAAACTTTTAATATCAAATACATTTTTGTACATTGTTACTAATTTATATAATTATAAAACAATCAAAAGCTCCATAAAATCAGTAAGGTAAAAGCTCTTACTGAATATTATATAAACTTCAGATGTTACCAGGCTGATTTCAGGAAAAGTCATTGGTTTTTGATACAAATTATCTACAAAACAATGTGGTATAAATGGTATTTGAATTTTACAATAATGTGGCCACAATCTGCCCACCACTCTACTAGGCGTCAGATCTTTAAAGTTCATTTCCATTCACACATTTCTGCTGCTGAAGCCTGGTTCTTCTTAAAGACTCCAGCTGCTTTGCTCTGAGCCATCGCTCTCTTGACAGTGTTGTCTGACCGGCACTGAGAGACAGAAACCTGGCGTGAAACATAGAAACAGATTTAAGTCTAGACCTAGGACAGGATCTAGTTCTTTTTCTTTCTTTCCTTTTTTTTTAATTTTTTTTAAAGAACCTCAGAATATGCTGGGTTAGGGGTCAAGACCATCTGGCAGCTACAGACAAGTCAAGAGCCAAGTTAGACTTCCACGAAGGGATCTTTGAAGGTTAGAGACAAAAAAACAAGCCTGTTCCACTGGTCACTGGCCAAACAATCCCCCTTCACTAAACCCTTAAAGGAAAAACCTTTCCACTGGTACAAATCTCAGTTACTCCTAAAAATCGGAAGGTTCACACAGAGCTTCCTAAAACAGCAATTACGGACACGGACTACTCACCGAGCCACAATGAGCAGCTGGTGGAGGTCATCTGCAGTGATGCTCTGAGGGTCGTTCTTGCGCATTTCCACAAAGTCATCTTCAACTGCCTGTACCGAGAGAGTAAGCGGACTTGAACACTGCTTATGAACAGTGTATTACGCAGGGAAAAAGTAACACGGTCCACTGGCTGATGTGCAAACGAGGTATCAGCCCTTCTGCTTAGGCTTCTTCGGAGAAAGGAGGGTGAAAGCCCCGCCTCACCCACAGGCCAATGCTGCCGACAGAGCCGGCGGGCGGCCAGGCAAACATCTGGGTCAGCAATGTGCAAGGCCAACGGGGCAGGGTGACGTCAGCAAAAGTGGCAGAGTGAGGGAAGGCCTCAGAAAATTCTTTCCACCACTGAAGGGTACAAGAACACTAGCAAAAACTATCAAAATTGCTTCTTCTGATCTGAATCTGAAAATTAACCAGAACACAGGGAGCATTCGGTCAAGAACGAACACTGGGCTCTAAGGCATTTTCATTTCCCCACCTACCCACCCCACGCCCTGAAAAGGGACAGCCCAGAGGCCGCAGGAGACGGTTCCTTCAAAGCACCATTCCTGAGATCGGTCACACTCTGCCGGCGGCTCCCGGCAAGAATCCACGGGCAAGGCTGTCTTCATTCAGCCACACTCCGCTTACCCAATGTGAACAGCCTCTTCTCCCAGGGAATTTATCAAAATCAGAAGCAATTACTAATCAACCCGGCTGCTTCATGCACTGGATAGTATTTGGGACAGACAACCCACCAAAATCCTAGGAAATGAAAAATTTCCCCCCAAAAGCCTCCAAAGGACGATCTCTATCTCCCCAGGAGTGCAGGTCACCGACGTGCAAAAGGCCGCGTGCACACTCAGATCGGAAGAGGCCCTAAGCTAACCTGAGTGGGTGCTCTGTGCAGGCAGAAAGAGAGGAGTGGATCACAGCTGTACGCTGTGTGCCAGAGTGTTGGAGGCCTGCCCTCATATGCACACAGGGCCCTTGGCTTTGACTGGAGACCTGTTCCCAGGCATCTAAGGAAATTCAATCTCTATCTGATCACTGACCGCTGAGCTCGCAGACACTCCAGGAGCCGCATACAAAGAATGCGCTTCACAGAGTTCACTGGAAGAGTCACTAAGCAACAACAAACCCTAGGGGGGAGGATACCACCCCCCCCCCCCCCCCCGCAGCAGAGCAGAGCTATCCTGGCTTCCACATATCTGGTTTTCAAAACAAAAATGAGACACAGAAACAAGAGTATCTGGACCCCTTCACTGGAAACAAAGAAGTCAACAGAAAAGGTCCTTGAGGAAGCCCAAATATTGGACTTGCTAGACAAAGACTTTTTTTTTTGACAGACAGAGATCACAAGCAGGCAGAGAGGCAGGCAGAGAGAGAGGAGGAAGCAGGCTCCCCGCTGAGCAGAGATCCCGATGCGGGGCTCGATCCCAGGACCCTGAGATCATGACCTGAGCAGAAGGCAGAGGCTTAACCCACTGAGCCACCCAGGGGCCCCGACTTTTTTTTTTTTCCTGAATTTTATCTAGTTATTTGAGAGGGAGAGAGACTGCGCACAAGCACACACACGAGAGAGCACAAGCGGTGGAGAGGGAGAAGCAGGCTACACGCTGAGTAGGGACCCTGGTGTGGGGCTCGATCCCAGGACCCTGGGATCATGACCTGAGCCAAAGGCAGATGCTGAACCCACTGAGCCAGCCAGTGCCCCTAGAGAAAGAGTTTAAATCAGCTCTTTAAATATATTCAAAGAACTAGAGAAAACCACATATAAAGAACTAAAAGCATGAGAATGATGTCACCACGAATAAAAAAGTATCGAGAGAGAGAGATTATTTTAAAAGCAAGCAAGAGGGGCGCCTGGCTGGCTCAGTGGGCTCAGCCTCGGCCTTCAGCTCAGGTCATGATCTCGGGGTCCTGGGATCGAGCCTGCATCGGGCTCTCTGCTCAGCCGGGAGCCTGCTTCCTCCTCTCTCTCTCTCTGCCTGCCTCTCTGCCTACTTGTGATCTCTGTCGAATAAATAAATAAAATCTTTGGGGGGAAAAAAGGCAAGTAGAGGGGTGGCTGGCTCAGTCAAGCGTCTGACTCTTGGTTTCAGCTCAGGTCATGACCTTGGGGCTGTGGGACGGGGCACAGCAGTGGGCTCCACGCTCAGTGTGGAGTCTGCTTGGGATTGTTTCATTCTCCTCCACTCACTCACTTGCTCTCTCTGAATAAAGCCTTAAAAAAAATAAATAAATAAAAAGCAAACAAACTCCGAAGTTGAACAAGGTGACTGAGACTTAAAATTCACCGGGAACGAGGCTGAGCTTCGTGCGGCAGCGGAGAAAGTCTGCAAATGTGCAGAAAGGTCGGCCGCACGTGGCGGGTCTGGGCAGAAGAAAGCGAAGGGAGGAAGAAAAATGAACGGAGCCTCCGCGACTCGTGAGCCGCCATCAAGCGCGCCCACACTCACCGCAGCGCTGGAAGGAGGAAGGAGAAAGGCAGAAAGGAATTTCAAGAAGTAACGGTCAAAGCCTCCCCGAACTCCTTGCGCGCTCCCGCACGACGAGCGTCCGCGCGCGCGCGCGGCAGCCCCACAGACGGCGCCCGCGGGCCGGCCGGACGCCAGGGAGAGCCTCGACCGCACGAGCACAGGGGAGCCCCTGAGCCCGAAGAGCGGCTCCTCGGAAGCCACGGGGCCAGCGGGCGACAGGACACACGGACCAAGTGCTGAAGGAACACGTCTTCACACCGAGAACTCCACGTCCGGGAGAAGCGCTCCTCAAACGCGGAGAAACCAGGACCGCCCCAGACAAGCAACACCCGGACGGAACCGCTCGGGCGGATCAGGCCTACGGGGACCGCGCGGCTCCTCCGGCCCGAACGAGAGGACGCCGCGCGGCGCCGCGAGCCCACGCAGGGGACCGTCAGGGCAACGACGCGGCAAAGGTACAAAGCAGTACCGGGTCTTTCCCGCGCCGGAGGGACGACGGCAGCCAACGAGGCCTGTGAACGCGGCGATGGAGCCGGACAGACGGACGACGCCCGGAGACGCCGCCGCCAGCTCGGCCGGCCGGGAGCCGCGGGAGCCCGAGCGGACCGAACCGTCTAGGGCAGCGCGGCCGCGGTTCCTTCAGCGCACGCGCACCTTGGTTATCTCGTCGGAGATGCTGTAGTCCAGGAACCTCAGCAGCGTCAGGTAGATGCGGAACTTGTTGAGCAGGGACGGCAGCACGGCCGACAGGAGGCTGTCCGTGTACTCCTCCATGTTGGGCGGGACGAGCTGCGGCTGCAGGTGGATCTGGCAGTCCGCCTGGGGAGACAAGCGCCGCATCAGCCCGCGAAGGAATCGGGAACGACGGTCCCTCACGGCGGGGGGGGGGGGGGGGGGGGGGGGGGGGCGGGAACTTTTTAACACGAACCCACAAGCGCCGGGACGCCCTCAGCGCTCATGGCTAGAGTGAGCCCTTCTTTGGTTACTGACACCTCCTCGACAGGACGAGCGGACACAGAAAGGCAGCCAGCCTCTGAAAAGCAGCTCCTTAAAATTCTTTCAAGGTTTCTTAATCTTGGAATATGTACTCTGTGTCTTACTGGATCTGCCCTTCTAGAAACCACATAAAGCAAACCACACTTTCCCACAGAAAACTTACACACGGGCCACTTCATTCTCGTTCACAAGCAATTTCTCATAAATCACAGTGACCACGAGTTCACACAGACTGTACACCTTTGCAAACAACTGGGCGTACTTCTCAACATGAAAAAACTCAATTAAAAGCTCTCTTCATCAGTCACTCTGATGATTTACCAGAGCATTTCACCATAAAGCACAAAAATAATTACCATGTCATCGGGAACATTTTAAAAGGAACTCCAAAGTATTTCTCACGTTAGATTGACAGAAAACAATGGGACCGAGACAGTAAGAACAAAGGTCTAGATGTGAATCAGGCAATTTATAGACAGCTTCTACTTTCTATGCCTGGATGTGGGAGTTGCTGCGCCCAACAGCCTTCCTCTGCTTGTCTTGTGATTTGCCATATCTGGTTCCTCACAGATGGGTTTTCATCCTCCAGGCAGGAACAAAATAATCAATTCTCTTACTAATCATCAGCAGCCCCAATTCTGAAACAAGTTTAACCTCTCAATAACAAGTCGTGCCAAGAAACAAAACAAAAACACAGGTATCTTTCCAAGGTAACCTCCCTCCATCTTACAATACCTCACCGTACCGGAAGGAGTGACCGCCCCTCCGAAGTAATAAACACATTAATATTGCAGGGGAATTCCATCTGGTGGTAACTGAAGTCATAATCCACCTTTTGCCACGTTATTAGGTTGCTCAGGGCAGTCACATTATGAACACCTAGGGGAAAAAATTTTTTTTTTTTGCTTACTTGATTTTAATCACCTAAACAAATGCTGTAAGACATGACATTTCTACTGCTTTAAAAAAAAAAAAGAAGAAAAGTATCTCACGCACTGTTCAACTTCCTAAGCTAAATGTTCACTAAGTAATAGGCTTCACAGATAATACTGGTCACCCTCCATAAATGTATTTTGGGGCCAAGACCCCCCAAAATCTAATCTAGCATCTTGTATGCAACTGGGCATAAGACAGGTTCCCAGTAAGCACAATCACTTTCTGTATGGTGTGTTCACAGGTCTAGAACAATATGGTAGAACTAAAATGATTTTTATGCAAAGAAGTAAGGTTACTGAATTTTACTGATTTTTTATACTCATCTGTGTCTTAAGGATACCCGTCCACGCTACTTTTTTTCTTCTACCTCTACCTTTTGAACTTACCGCCAGCAAAGTGTCTTCTCAGACGTCATTTGAGCACAAATAAAGCAACCAGTTTCCTTGCCAATTTATAACAAGTTCCAAAACTGAGGTTAGTTCAACCCTTCCAACCTTTTTCCAGAGTCTTTGATAAAAAAAATTTTAAACTTCACACTCACAGTAAAAAATGTTTTATTAGATCTTCTCTACACTTTTCTTTTAAGCTAACATATGACTGAAGGCAAGATCTCCTTCTCAGCCTTTCAAGAGCAACTTGCAACGTCCTTGTCCCGTCACTGTACCATGTTTATAGTAGGACAAAACACAGCTGATGGACACAGTCTGTGAGCTGACAGTTCCCCCATTAGACAAATTCACATGGCAAGCCTTGATCTTAAATACTTGTGAAATGTGAGTGTCTCTCGATCAGTGATTCTTCTACAAGTCATCACCAGATCTGGCTTTCATGGGAGGTTAGACATGAAGGGAGACACCCGTGTCTGTACCTGGTGTATCCAGCTGCCCTTGCTCGAGGAGAGTTTCGTCGATCACGAGGGAAGTGTTGCTCGGGAGCTGCAGGAGCCCGCTGACCAGGCGGTTGGCTGTATAGTCTTTGTGGGGGATGAATTTCAAATGGTTCATGTTCTCTATAGTCATTTGCAGACGAAAAGACTGCAAAGAGAAATTTTTTTAATGAGCGAGGAATAAAATTTCCCTGTTTTAAGAAAATACATATTTGGGGTTAAATACTTTCCATTTGTGTATAAGGAAAAATCTTAATTTCTAAGGATGTAGTTTCGTGGCTTCTTGAGCTCTTAAAGCAAAAATCTTACATCTACACCTTAAATAATAAATCTACACCTTAAATAAGAATTTCACTATTCCATGTGCTGTTTTATTCTCAACTGTTTTGTGCAGTATTCTTAATTTCTAATTTACCAGCAAACCAGAAACAAACGATAGATAATTCAGATGCATCTGCCAAATATTCAGAAGCTTGAATTCTTTTATCTACCACAACCCCAGGCTAGCAAAACAGAAAATATTTATTTATTGAAAATGGGGAGAGAGAAGCTTAATTTTCTTCAGTGCTCCTGGAGTTAAAATCATTAAAATCACAGTCATTCCTCAGACTCCCGCTGTCGCAAGGAGAGCTGAGGAGCAGAGCGCGCTGCGCGGGGCCCGGGCGCTGCGGGTCCTAGAACGCACTGCAGGCCGCCTCCTCATCCAAGCCTAGCCCAGGATCTGTCAGACCCCTCTGCACCCCTCCGGCTCTCCGAGCCCACCACTCAAGGCCCTCTGCACCCTGCTTCACACTCCACTCTCCCCGCTATCCCTCCAGCCTAAATAGAAGTTCGTGTGGTAAGGGTGGGGACTGGAATTGGGAAGAAGGGCGCCGAGGAAGAGAGAAACTTTCAGAATTGACGGGATTACTGTACTATGGCTCGGTGATGCAAAGCAAATGGGGCAGAGGGCTGGGACCATTTTATAGATAGAGGCCAACAAGCCCTAAAGAAGCCCAGTCTGTCAAAACCCAAGGGGCACACGGCAGGGTCTAGCTCCACGTCAGCAGAAGCGGGTCGCGCATACGGAACCCACCGTGAAAACGAAACAAGATATGAGCGAGCCAAGTGCTCAGAAAGAGTTCGGCACCAGACAAACACACAAGAGGAATGGAAGGGAGTGGGATATGGTAACAATGAAAGAGTGAAACCCACGAACCCACTACGAAGCGATGCAAAATAAAAAGATCAAAAAGGAAGTAACTCTTATATTTAGAAACCTAACTCGTGCCCGTCTGCGCGCTAGGCTGCTGCTCGGACTTTACTTCCTTCCCTTCTCCCCAGAACTCACTCCACGCCAGCCGCACCGGCCTGTCTGCGCGCCTCCACGCGGCAGAGCGCACAGCTGCCTCAGAGCCTCCGGGCCTGTCCTCTCCTCTCTCCCTGCACGGACATTCCCCCCAGCAGAGCCATGCGGCTTTGCTCCCACACTGCATCAAGTCTCTCCCCGAATTCCTGGAAGGCGAGGCCTTCCCCGACCACACTGCGCACGTGAGCGACTCTCCCCCAGCCCCGTGCTCCCCCGTCCTCTTCTCCTGGGCCTTTATTCTTCCTGTGGCACTTCAATGACAGATTCTGTATTTACTTATTATCTGTTGGTCTTCTACCACGATAATCTAAAATCTATTTCAGCAATTCCCAAAATGTGGTCCAGGGAACCCCCAAGGAGTTGCTGACACAATTTTTATAGAGTCCACGAGGTCAAAATCATGCATGGATAAAAGACCCATTCGATATGCAAGACAGACCAATGAATTTACTACAGCAGAGTATAAAAAATTCATTGAGGACATTACAGATTTCACATTTGCAACTATCCTTCAAGAAAACGTTATATAGGGGGACGCCTGGGTGGCTCGGCTGGTTACGTGTCTGGCTTCGGCTCGGGTCATGATCCCAGTGTTCTGGGATTGAGTCCCGCATTGGGCTCCCTCCTCAGCAGAGCGCCTGCTTCTCCTTTTCCCTTTGCACCCCCTATGCTTGTACGCTCTCTGACAAATAAATAAAATCTTTCAATTAAAAAAAAAAAGAAAAAAGAAAATGTCATGTGGGCATTTTTAGTCTAGTATCCAAGAAATCCACAGCTATCCAAAAAGGCCAGCTTTCCGTCACATACTTTAATCAAAACATCCTATTATAAGAGACTGAATGCAGAAAGGGATCTTCAATTCAGCAGTCTTCTATTAATCCAGATATTAAAGAGATTGGTAAAAATTTTAAACCATGTCACTTTTATCACTAATGTTTTTTGAATTGGGAAAACACTATTGTTACACAATATTTTATGTTCATACGTAATCGATATATTGATATATTTTCATGAATATTTTAGTCTATTTTTAGTTTTAATTTCTACTATGGCAAACTGGTAATAAAAACAACCCAGATAAACTACACCTCTTTGAGTCCTCCATAATTTTTTCAGAGTGTCAAGTGAGGCAAGGAGTGTGAGAAATGCTAATCTGTTTGGTCCACTGCTGTTTACGGGCCTGGAAGAGTGCTAGCACTTACCCTCCAACGGCACGGTCACATGAATGATCTATTTTAACCTCTTAAATCTCCAAAATAAGCGATCAGCATTGTCAGTCATATGACGAGTCAAAAGCAACTCCCTCATTCCCAGTGTCTCACCACCACACAAACCCTGCATTCCACACACCCTGGCAAACAAAGGCAGCTCGACTTTCTAAACAGGAATTAAAACTGGGGCCATGGAGATAAAGATCTTTATTACCTCAGCTAAATGAATTATGCTCTTGTAATTCAGGCTTATTTAAAGACTTAAGATTTTAATGCACACAAAGGATAGATACCAAGTTGGCACAAGCTGGGATCAACCAACAGCATAATTTTAAGGGATTTACTTGCAATCGTGCCGTAAGAGTCACAGAAATTTGTGCTAAGGCAATAAAAGAAAAGCGAAGTGTTTAGGGGTGAGTATGTAAATTGTGGAACCTGACAGGCTTTGTTTCCCCTTAATAAGATCTATTACAATTTCAAATTGAAATACTTGGGTTGAATGAAAGACAATTAGATGAGTTTTTAAAGTGCGCTCAGCTTTTCTTTTTGTTTTAATTTATCTGAGAGAGAGACCAGAGCGAGCAAGAGAGAACATGAGTGGAGCGGGGAGGGGCAGAGGCAGAGGGAGAAGCAGGCTCCTGAATAAGGAGCCCAACATGGGGCTCAATTCCAGGACCATCGGATCATGACCTGAGCCAAAGGCAGATGCTTAACTGACTGAACCACCCAGGCGCCCCAGTGTGTTCAGATCTCTAATAATTATTATTTACATAATAATTAATATTTATATTGATCTTACTGCTGGAACAAGATGTTGAATAATCCGGTACAAGTGTTCTGTGAAGGTACTATTCCTTGGGCAACCACTCAAGTTAACTGTGAATTTTCCCAGTGGAAGAACATCTCTTCTTGTATACCTAGAAAAAAAAAAAAAGATACCAACCAGTAAGATATTCAAGTGGATTCGCAATTTCCATCGAAAAGCAACCAAAGATTAGCAAAATACTGTCATTAAAAATAAAGCAAATTACTCTGACCAGCTCACTTATCAGAATAATAACAGTAACAGCCAGCGTTTGCACATGAGCACTGTGCATGCGCTAGGACTGTTCGGAGTGCTTAACTGTCTCGTGTAATTCCCAGGCTCTCTGAGGCAAGTCACCTTCGCTGTACAGGTGAGAAATCCGAGACAGAAATCTGAAGTAACATGCCCGAGTTCACACAGCAGGATGTGGAGAGCTGGATTTGAACCTGCAGGGTTTGGTTCCAAAGCCTGTGCACTCAACCATTACGTGCTGCGGTCTGAAACCCGAGCCGAGGGAGGATGTGGAGAACAAAGGCACTGACTGCAGGGTCATTTGGAACTGAGGGAAGTTAGGAAACCAGCATTTACGGAACTAGGACAATGGTCTACAATGAAATACCGTACAGCCATTGAAAAGTTCATGAAGAATTACAAAGGAAGAATGTTTAAGACGTAGTAAATGATAAAAACAAGATCGGCATTTAGAGTACCACGGAGACCTGTGCAGGGATGTACACATGTCAACAAAAAAGATGAAACAAACATGAGCCAAATGTGTTAACGGAGATCATCTCTCAGTGGGTGAGATGACAGTTTCCGGTTTCTTTATGCTCCTGGAACTTGTTGAAAACACTCATTAATTCTGAAATCAGGAGACAGAGGCCTGTGGAGGGGTGGAAAGGAGGTGAGCACCTTCACCTACAAATTACATGTGCGCCCCGTGGGCCTGGCAGAGCTGTGGGATGTATAAACCAAGAATTCAGAATGCAGAAAGAATAAAACAGCTCATTTTACTTATCAGCCAGGTTCTTCGTCTGACTGCGGCTCTTCTGTTTAAGGGAGGCATAAACAAAAGGTTACATGTGAAACAAAAAAGGTGGACAAAGAATGTGTGATCTCATGTAACCCTTGTCACACTGAATAAAAGCTGCCTGATGATGCAGCTAATGAACTGTGACACCAACGGCCTGAGCGACCTTCCCGCTCTTCTGCGCCGTCAGCACCGCCCCCCACCCCCCACCGCCGGCCGCCGGGAGCTCGGCACTTACACCGTGGAGATGAGATGCAGGATCAGGTACTCGGCGGCCAAGCTGTCTCCCAGAAGTGCATGCGTGAGGAACCCAAGCAGCTCTGCTCGGACGGGAGACAATTCAGACATGAAACCTGAAACGACTGGAGGAGGGAGGGAGACCACACTCAGAACACACACACCAGCTCCTCCTGAGTGTCTCAGGCTAAGAAGGAAAAAAAAACAAACCCAAGTGGAACAAAGCACTAAAGTCACTAGACAACTAGTGTAGAATTAAATACTGGTCGTTAAGTGATGCCAATCTTTGAGACAAGACAGCTTGTAAACTCTTTTTTGGCCTCATCTTAATAAAGAGAACTAACGGGAAGGAAAACGGGCCAGGGTCACGGCCACTACTAGAGAGACTGAGGCTGAGCACGAGGATCTGGCTGCCTCGGCCCCACCGTGAGCAGAGCATGCGCCGCAGGCGGCTCCCGCCCAGGGGCCCACGGTCTCTGGCTCCCAAGGCATTAGCACTTACACTTACAGGTTTTGCTCTCCTCCTTGTTAAGGCAAGCAGGCAGTAAAGGATTGATGTGCTGCAACTTCTGGGCTAAAACCACATGAATTCTTGGCACTAATGAAGCGGGAGGGCTGTGCACTCTTTGCTCCTCGGCCGTGTCCGTGCATTCCATCGGATCCAGGAGTGAAGAGGCATCTCTGTAGAGAGAGGAGAAAGTCACAAGTCACAGCCACATCTCTGAACATGAGAATTCAAGCCAAGAACAGTTCCACCTGCACGTGTCCCTAGAGAACGGAAAATGGCTCCTCATCCTCAATGGTCAGATCACACAGTTCTCGGGCTAGTTAGGCCACACAAGGATATATATGTGTTTTCAAGAAAAAGAACACTTTCACTGAGTATGCGGTAGCTGTGGTTAATGGGATAGAGCACATCACTGGTGAAGAGTGTCTGTGTTTTGAAATCACTTCATCGGCGGAGACATGAAACGCTTCACAGCATGTCTCAAAAACCAGGGTCTTTTTCTCATAAGCCATTAGGCATCTATTACTCAGTGTGGAAGATCCATTCATCTCTTACCTTGCTAATTGTTTTTCCTAACTTTTATTCCTCCACAACACCTCCCTTGAATAGTGAGTAGTCAAGCAGTGAAATGAAAAAGTGTTGAGTTTTTCAGATTTGCTAAATAAATTAGCAGACAATGGATTTACTGTGATGCAACTGAAACAAATCACGAAGATGTGTTTAGAACTTCAGACTTCACAGGTTGCTCTACAGTTACCCATTCACATGGCCGCCTGCCTCACACACAAGGACGACAACAACCGTACGTGGTCTGGACCACGTGCCAGGCAGGGTCCTTCTCTATGCACACACCAGTTCATTAACGCCTCACCTACACTGGTCTCCAGTGGGAAGGTGAGGCCCTGCAGAAGTCACGTGGCCGGTAAATGGCCACACCAGGTCGGCACGCCAAGCCATCCGGCTCTCTCTGGGCACTAAGCGGCTTCAACCAATGAAGTGACTGAAGCAGGAAAACCATCATCACCAGAAACAGCCAAGGCAAGCAATTTGCAATACTATTATTAAGGAATGCTATTTAAGTTTATTTAAAGTTGTTTAAATATGTCTGTGTCCCCCCCTTTATTGTAAGAGTGAAAAACAAGTTCTTCTTATAGGGAAACCAAGATGAATGTCCAATACCCAACAAGAAAACTATTATGTTGTGGGGGGGAGGTTATGACTCCATTCCTTGGCAAACTCAAGACAAAACAAGAAGAATAAGGAAGATCTGGATTTTCAGGATATATTGTTAGCTGTGAAGAGAAAGTGTAAAGGAATACATATAACATGCTATCTTTTATATAATAAAGGGGAATAAAATATATACATGTCTACTTATTTTTGCAAAAAATACAGTAAAGATAAAGGCAGAAACAGGTTGGTTCTCTATGGAGCTTGAGTGGGAACAGGGCAGGGGAGATGGCACCCCTATATTCTTTGTATATAGCTCTGATTTGGGTAACAATGTCAATGTTTTCTATACTTAAACTATCAAAACAAATGAGAAAATGTTAACAGATTTTAAAAGTTTAAAAATTAAACTCTTCAAAACATGTACCACCACTTTTCATACAAAATTAGTGTATGCTCTAATAAAAACTCATGAATATGGAAAAAAAAAAATCAAAACAGTAAGGACAGAAGAAACACTCTGAAGAGAAATGCAATGGAAACCAACTGAACCTAACCACATAGAATGAATAATGAGCAAAAGGACCAAAGGGGAATAAAACTCACCCCGGTAATTTTAGACACAGCACTCTAACTGTACGCCTCATTCTAAAATAAAAAGAAATGGAAACCAGTCTTGGATGCAAGTTACAAGGTTTGTTTTTTGCAGCGGTGTGGACTGCTGATTCTGAAATTCCCTCCTCTGCACTATGGAAATACGTTGAGAACAATCAGAGTCAAGCTTCTTTCTGTTAGAAGGGGGGCTACAAATATGGGAAGGGAGAAGGGAGAACATCTGAGTGCAGAACTGGAACTGGAAACACTGTGAATGTTCTGTTCAGTTCTGACAGACTTGAAAATACATGAAAATGCATGTGTACGGGCATATAAATGTGCATTTATTTGTATGCGCACAGTGTATGCGTCTATGTAGTTCCTAGCCCCACCCATTAAAAGGGCATAGAAGCAATACCAATCCTGATACCAGTGAGCACACAAGCACTCAGATCTTGACTTTTAAATAAAACTCCTCACTAAAAGAAACTGATGCTCCTTAGCAAAATGGCTGATACTGCAGCCGGAGTAGAGGAAGGACAGATGAGGTTGAAACAGCGTGTGTGCCAGGAAAGAAATTTCCAAAAATGAGGTCACGTCAGCAAAGACGCAGAGCCTGCTTACAACGACTCTCACTAGCTAAATGAGAAAACCTGAATCTCGAGCACCAGACTAACAGCCACACTGAAATAAACAAATTACTTAAGTAAACAAATGAGAAGGAAAATCTCTCTTCTAACAGAATGCCAATAAACAAGTGCAGAAGGAATGACTGAGATAGAAAATCACCATCTAGTAATAACCGATCAAGAATCATCAATGGACAGGGGTGCCTGAGTGGTACAGTCGGTTGAGCGTCTGACTCTTGGTTTCATCTCAGGTTGTCATCCCAGGGTCGTGGGACTGACCCCTGCACTGGGCTCCGTGCTCAGCGCGGAATCTGGTTGAGATTCTCTCCCCCTCTCCCTCTGCCCCTTCCGCTCATGCTCTAACTAAAAATAAAATAGAATCATCAATGGATATTAAAGTAAGTGGATGAGGGACACACATGGGTGGCTCAGTCAGTTAAGCGTCTGCCTCTGACTCAGGTCATGATCCCAGGGTCCTGGGATTGAGCCCAACATGGGGTTCCTTGCTCAGCAGGAAGTCTGCTCCTCCCTCTTCCTTTGCCTGCCACTTCCCATGCTTGTGTACATGCCCATGCACACTCTCTGACAAATAAAATTTTACATAAATAAGTGGACAAAAGTTAAATAAGAAACTGGATATTAATGTAATCTCCAAGCACCTCCTTCCAAATTACTTATTACAAAGTGAAAAACAGTAACTTTATAGGACAGAAACCTGGCAGATGCCACCTTAACCAAACGATCAAAATTACCACCACCAATAGTACAGCACACTGACATCAGATGCCTCCTCATATGACAGCCTGATTCTAAGCATGAGGAAACACCACATAAACCCAAACAGATATTCTACAAAATGACTGGCTATACTCTTCAAAGGTGTCAAGGCTCTCTGCCATGTGAGGACAAGGAAAGACAGCCATCTGCAACCAGGAAAGGGGCCCTCGTTAGACACTGGATCTGTCAGCACCTTACTCATGGACTTCCCAGTCTCCAGAACAGTGAGAAATGAATTTTGGCGAAGTTTAAAAAAAAAAAAAAGGTGTTTCAGGTGTTGACTTGAAAAGGTGTCAAGTTCAGGAAAGACAGAAGTCAAGGACTGTTCCAGATTAGTGGAACATGTGACCCTACGGATCCTGACTCACGGAAAAGAAGGAAAAATTAAAAAAAGAAAAAAAAAAAGAAAAAAAAAACATCAGAAGAAACAAGATTGAGATAATTGGTGAAATTAAGTATGGAGTATGGGTTAGTGTTTCTAATTTTCTAAAAGTTCCTAATTTTGATGGCTGTACTCTGACTGTATAGGAGAAAGTCCTTGTTCTTAGGAAATATGGACTCAAGTATTTAGGGGATAATGTATGCAACTTACTCTCAGGTGTTTCAAAGAAACATGTACATACACAAAAATGTGCACATGTGAGAGCACAAATGAATGACAGAGCAAATGGGGCACTAAGGGTTAACAACTGGTAAATCTGGGTAAAGGGAGAAAGCTCTTCGTAACATTATCTTCCAGCTCTTCTGTAAGTTTGAAATTTTATCAAAATAAAGTTACCCAAAAAAGAACAAACAGACTCACCTTTCATCATTATTCAGTATACTTAGCACAGGATCCACAGATAGGACACCATATAACTCAAGAACATCATTGACTTTGAAACAATCCCAGTCTTCATAGACCTGACAGGAGATCGTAAGAAACCACGTTGTTAGGACTAAATAACACCAAAAAAATCATAAAAGATTAGTTTTAAGGCTAAAGAAATAGTATTTTAGATTTTTAGGTCAGGAAATGGAATTTAAAGCCACTCTTTTGTTTCATAACTTGAAACCAAGAGAGATAAAATACTTGCCTAAAGTCATTCTCCTAGTTAGCAATTAACACTAAAACAGAGGACTCCTGACCTCCAGACCAGGGTCTGCTGTCAATACACCACACTACTTTGAAGAGGCTTTCCCAACGATGACTAACATTACAAATGTGCATTATTGGGTGCTTGGTGGCTCAGTCAGTTAAGCGCCGGCCTTCGGCTCAGGTCATGATCCTGGGACAGAACCTCATGATGGGTTCCCTCCTCAGCAGAGAGTCTGCTTCTCCCTTCCCCTTTGCCCCTCCCTCCGCTTGTGCTCTCTCTCACTCACAAATAAATGAAAAATAAAATCTTAAAAAAAAACAACAACAACAACAACAAAAAAACCCTGCATTATCTCAAAATCTATTCAGAACACCAAGAGAAGGGGGGGTGCAGGAAACAACTGCAGGATTACTAACTTTGGACTTATTCACCAACTATGCACCATTAGGAGGGTTAACACAAAACTCAGAAAGGCCATGAGGGTTTTCGAAAGTTTCAAAACTTTCAAAGTTGTGTCTTTGATGGACGCTAATAACTGTCAAAGCCTCCTCTTGGTGAGGCTGAACCGAAACATGGCAGGAAAGCCGTCCTCACTCTGGTCCCTATGGTACAGAACTGAAGTGCCACTTAAGTTAAAACCACAAAATAAAAGAATGGAAATTCTCAATGATCATTTCTGAAACTTACATTGCTTGCTTCACCTATCAGGATCAAAAAACTAGGGTAAGCAAAATAGAACAAACTGCCAACAGATTTTTTGCCTTGATTTTATTTTAAATACAAATGAGAAAAAGATTTTGAGGAGAAGAATGTTGAAAAAGTTAGATATTGTCGGAAGCTGGAAATGACATAGGAATTTACATGAATTAAAAAAACTGGGGGTGCCTGGGTGGCTCAGTGGGTTAAAGCCTCTGCCTTCGGCTCAGGTCATGATACCGGGGTCCTGGGATCGAGCCCCGCATCGGGCTCTCTGCTCAGCGGGGAGCCTGCTTCCTCCTCTCTCTCTGCCTGCCTCTCTGCCTCCTTGTGATTTCTGTCAAATAAATAAATAAATCTTAAAACAAACAAACAAAAAAAAACCTGTTTTACTTCTGTGTTCAAAATATTTTTCAATTCTTTTTTTAAGTGAGCTCTACACTCAACATGGGCCTCAAACTCAAAACCCCAAGACTAAGAGTCGCAGGCTCCACCGACTGAGGCAGCCAAGTGCCCCATATTCTTCAACTGAATTTAAGAATGCCGTGGTAGACAGAACACGGCCTCCCAAAGAGGTCCACATCCTACTCCCTGCAATCTGTGAATAGGTTACCTTATAAGCAAAAGGGGGTATGAATAAATTCAAGACCCTGAGACGAAGAGATTATCCTGGATGATCTGGTTGGGCCCAATCCAATCACAAAGTCCTTTCCAGGAAGAGGTAACTATGAAAACACTCTGGCTTTGAAGATGGAAGAAGGGGCCCCAAGCCAAGGAATGTGAGCACTTCTAGAAGCTGGAAAAGGCAAGAAAACAGATTTTCCCCCAGATCATTTAGAAAGGAATGCAGCCCAAAGGAGACCTTGATTTTATCTTCAGTGAGATCAATGTTGGACTTCTGACCTAAAGCCTGTAAAATGATAAAATTTTTGTTGTTTTAAAAGCCACCGACGTGGTGAATATTTGCTCCAGCAGCCACAGAAAACAAACACAAATGCTAAGAGTAGTCCATGTTAACTTTGAGACACATTCCACATCTACATCAAGGTCAGGTCTATAAAAGGTTTAGTACCTTCACAAGGCATGCAGGGCCCTTCTCCCCTGGCAGTGGAAAATTCAGGTCAAAAGGAGAAGAGAGGTTCAAGAAGTTCAGCTGTTGGCCAGCAGAAGCTTCAGTTTCTAAACGTTTTGGCTCTCCACACCACTGAAGACCACCAACACTCCCTAAATTCAAAGAACAGCACTGCACTTAGTCATTTTTAAGGCTTCCTGGAGAGAAAGAACATTTCTAAAGAGCCTTTCAAGTCTGATATAAATGATGCTTCTGAACACAAAAAAACTTCAAGTTGTTACAGTTCTTAAGGAAGTAAGATATGCTAACAAAACCCTTTGTCTGACCTAAAAGAGAACAAAGATTATGAAGATCTAAAAAATTTAATCATTTCTCCCACACAACAAAATGGCAAAAAACTCCCCTCTTCAAATCTCAAGTATATTTTAAAAGTTAATATTTACAGTTACTTTGACAACTTTAATCTGAAGATGTCTACTAACAACAAACCCGCCTTGGTAGAATATATTTTTTTCTACTTATTACTCAGAATAAAACCATATAGCAATACATTCATTTACCAAATATTTGTAATATCCACTGTGTACTAGGAATCAGACTAGTTGTTGGGGACACAAGGATGATTTAAAAAATGCCCTCTATCCCTGAAGTGGTCACAGTTTAGGGCCTATAACTAATTAAAATCAACATATAGCCTGCCACACCATAAAATATTGCTCAGCAATAAGGAATAGACTACTGATACACAGATTAATCTGGATGGATCTCAAGTTTTGCTGACTGAAAAAAGCCAATCCACAAAGTGTACATACTGTATGATTCCATTTATGTAACTTACCATTATTTTTTAAGGTTAAGCTAGAACGGGATCTTTTATTTTTTTTCTTAACTGAAGTATTCCCGACTATGCAACACTCTTGCAATAAAATAACATTAGTAGAGATGAAGAATGGGTTCGTGTTTGCTAGGGGTTAAGGACTTCTGGGGAGGGGAGAGGCAGGAGAGCAGTGGGCAGGACTCTACAAGGACAACTTTGAAAGATGTGGGCAATGAACCATTTTGGATCCTGACTGTGGTAGTGGTCCCATGAGTCTACACGTGACGACACTGCCCAGAACAAAATACATGCACACAAATAACTGTGTGTAGGAAATATAAATCTAAGGTCACTGGGCAGTAGCAATGTCCATTTCCTGGTTACGATATTCTACTAGAATTATACAAGATGTTACCATCAGGGGAAACTTATTTCTTACAGCTACATGCGATCTATGCTTATCTCAAAAATATTTTTAAAATATATATAGCTTGAAAGATTACTGAGAAACCAACAAACAAGTTACATTGTAAATAAATGATGCGCCCAAATGTACAAAAAGCCTACAGTAGGACATCCAAATGAAAGCAAAAAGGAGGAGAGATCATCAGTTGCTTAGATAACAGAATTACCATATATCCTGGATTCTAATGTTACTTATTATTATGATACACCATTAATTTTAATAAGCATTTGGGGGGGTGGAGAAAAAGACCACCACATTTGCACAGATTTACTATAAAACATTCCGATGTTAAAAACATTAAAGTATGCCTTAGCTCTAAGGAAATATATATAAAGTAGGAAAACATATGGCTAAATGAAATTCATTAGTAATTCTTTGTTTACCACTCTCAATCCAATCTTGCAGATGCCCCCTGACTAGACTGATTTGTCAACCCCCCACTCTTCAACTTGCCCTCTGAGGATGGTGCTACAGAGAAATGACTGGCCACAAAAGGAGGAATAATGACAAACTTCTCTACCTGCCGCAATAAAGAAATTCACTATTCTTAAACACTGTGATTGGTAAAATCAAGAATGAAATATGCCAATTCTGAAACTATCTCATGCTCTTAGGACATCCCAAACTTTGGTCCCCGTGTTAATCAGAATTTACCAGGTTTTCAGCATGTTTCAAGATAAACCACTACAAATGTGTGTATATAGAATAGAACTGTGACTATTTTAAGGGCTCTCCGGTCTCAAGTTGAGTACGAAGTTACCTAGTGCCCCACAATTTCATGGTTTTCCTCCGATGTTTTCAATCTTACTAAATTAAAGTACCACTATCTTGGGGCACCTGGGTGGCTCAGTCCGTTAAGCATCTCCCTTTGGCCCGGGTCATAATCCCAGGATTAGGCTCCCTGCCTTGCAGGGAGTCTGCTTTTCCCTCTCTCTCTGTCCCTCCCCATGCTCGTGTGCACACATGCACACACTCTCTGCTCCGCTCATGAATAAATAAAATCTCTTAAAAAAATAAAAATAAAAAATAAAGTTCTACTTTCTCCAAAGGAAAATAAAAAAGGATGTTTTCAGATATTTAAAAAAAAAGACATTTTCAGGATAAGCTACTAGACTTCCATATTACTTAGGAGCTGAAATAAAAATATAAAGAATGAGAAAAAGACCTTTGTCCACTAACCACCTGAGACTCTTAAAGACTAACAGGAAAGCAGACACTTCTCACTAAGTGATGCCTAACTGCTCAGTTATGAAGCACGGTTTGACCAGAGTATTGCAAAAACTCTCAAGACTATTTATAACAGCAATGAACTTGAATGCAAGGTTGTCAAATCGCTGTCATTTCCTAAATATAGAGCTGTATCACACAACAATTAATTCTGGAAATGGACCTGAGGGAGAAATGAACAGAAAGCCTGTTGACACACACTACCTGCTTGCCTGGCACCTGCATGTTGGTCTTTCTGTTTATTGGGCTGTAGGTCCATATCTTCATCATCTTCGTAACTCCTCTTGTGACGACTGGGAGTGTAGGACGTAGACGGACTGACTCGAGCTTGGTTTGCATTAACATAGGCGTTAAATGAAAAGTTAAGGAAAATCTACCAGGCACTGAGGAATATCCTAAGGTATGCTAATTCTAGGGCTAATAAAAGATTATTGGTTTGGCAATTTGGCTAAAATTAAAACATCCTTTTAAAAGACTGAACTTCCAGCTTTGATCATGAGAGTAGCAGCTTAACCTCATGCCCCCTACCTGTGCTATAAGGAAACTATACAACTGGATAAAAGATATGAGCAACTGTTTTCAGTAACTGAACATCGTAAGGGAACATAAGGTTATAGTTCTTCAATAAGGAAACACACCAGTAAACTCCGCACTCTTCCCAGCTTTCTCTTGGGAACATTTCCCAAACTGCACAAAGAGAAGCAAGGACCCTGCCCTTGCAGGACAGAGAAACAGAGCACACAGTTCTGGGCTCCTGAGCAACTGGAAGCTGCAGAAAGTAACAGAGGCAAGAGTTGCAGATAAGACCAAGAAACCTGTGCAGGCTCCATATGGGGTTTTGGCTGAACATAAAACCATGGATGTACAAGTCAGGATTCCTTGAGGGCTAGCAGGGAACAGCTGCTAGTTGGCTGGGAGCTAAATGGAGATTCAGGACTTCTACAATACTAGAACTGGACCCTGATGGACAACCTGGGCACTGAGGTGTGACCAGAAATAGCACATTTCATGAGTAAGGACTGTGTCCTACAGACCAAGGGCTATTCCATACCCACCTTAACAAATCGCAAAACCAAGCCATGACAAGGTCAAAGTGATCCACTTATATCACCTGCCTGTCAGAATAAAACGCAACATTCTTGGAAGGAAGACAAAACCGAACTCTCTACAATGTTGTACATCAGCATACAGTAACACATTATTAGTTATATATGAAGAGGCAAGAAAATATGACCTACAATCAGGATTAAAAATAACCAATAAAAACAAACCCAAAGATGACTCAGATATTGGAATTAGCCGACAAGGACACTAAAAAGGCAATCTAAAATTCACTATTTTTTCATATATATATATTGAGCTATGTTCCCTTTAAACCTTATTATGTTGAGATATGTTCCCTCTAAACCTTAAAATTCACAATTTTAGGGGCACCTGGGTGGCTCAGTGGGTTAGGGCCTCTGCCTTCGGCTCAGGTCATGATCCCAGGGTTCTGGGATCGAGCCCCGCATCGGGCTCTCTGCTCAGTGGGGAGCCTGCTTCCTCCTCTCTCTCTCTGCCTCCCTCTCTGCCTACTTCTGTCAAATAAATAAAAAAAAAAAAAAAAAAAAAAATCTTTAAAATTCACAATTTTAAAAGAAAATACAATCGCTTCTCGGCCTTTTGGCGACGATCAAGTGTAGTACCTGTTCTTATCAGTTTAAAAGAAAATATAGACAAGATCCATCTAAGTAGCTCAGTTGGTAATGTGTCTGCCTTTGGCTCAGGTCATGGTCTCAGGGTCCTGGGATGGAGCCCCACATTGGGCTCCCTGCTCTCTTGCCCCTCCCCCCCACAAACTCAATATCTCAAATAAATGGTTAAAATCCTAAAGAAAGACTGATGAGTCAAAGATGAGGCATGTTAGCAGAGAAATGGGAACAATGGAAAAGAACCAAATGAAAAATCAAGAACTGAAAGATAAGATATCTGAAATGAAAACAAAAGAGAACAAAAATAAACAGAATCTCAGTTACCTGGAGGTCAGTAACATCTAATGATTATGTGACTGAATCCCCAGAAAACGAGACAATACAAGAGACTGGGACAGAAAAACATTTGAAGAAATAAAGGCTGAAATCTGAAAAATACCAGTCCACAGATCCAAAACCTCGAAAATACCCAAGCAAAAGAAACACAAAAATACCCACACTGACCCACATCACAGCCAAACTGCCAAAAACCACAGAGAGAGAGAGAACATCAGAAGTAGCCAGGGGAAAAACAAAGATGTCACATACAGGGATAGAGTAAAATGACTGCTAGCCCTTCATCCAAAAGCAATGGGGACCAGAGGCACCTGGGAGGTGCAATGGTTTGAGCATCTGACTCTTGATTTCAGCTCAGATAATATCTCAGGGTCGGGGACTGAGCCACCCATCAGGCTCCCCACCCAGCATGGGGCCTCCTTAAGATTCTCTCTCTCCCCCTCCCCATACTCACACTCTGGATGCAAAAAAGAAAAAAAAAAAAAAAGGCAATGGAGGCCAGAAGACAATGGAACAAGACCACCAGAGTGCTGGGGAAGGAAAAGAGCTGTCAACCCAGAATTCTATAACCAGCAAAAACATCCTTCAAAAACAGAGGTGAAACAAAGACATTATTCCTTGAACCAAAGCTGAAAAATTCATCACCAACAGATCTGTACTTAAAGAAAAGCTCAGTTAAATGACTCCATTAAAAAAAAAAAGAACAATGAGCTAGAAATGGTACATACCACAAACACATACAAGACACTTTTCCCTCATTTCCTAATTTATGTAGAAGACACATTTTTTAAAGTTTTTTTTTAATGATTTTATTTATTTGACAGAGAAGAGAGTACAAGCAGGGGGAATGGTAGGAAGAAGGAGAAGCAGGCCCCCGCTGAGCAGAGAGCCCAATGCAGGGCTCAATCCTAGGGCCCTGGGATCATGATCTGAGCTGAAGGCAGATGCCCAACTGACTGAGCTACCCAGGTACCCTTTTTTAAAGATTTTATTTATTTGACAGAGAGAGAGAGAGAGAAAGAGAGAGAGAGAAGCAGGCTCCCTGCTGAGCAGGGAACCCAATGTAGGGCTTGATCCCAGGACCCTGGAATCATGACCTGAGCCAAAGGCAGACGCTTAACTAACTGAGCCACCCAGGCGTCCCAAGAAGACAAATGTTTAAAGCAAACAGGGTAATATACTGTGGGCTCTATAGTTTAAGTACAAATGAAGTGTAGGACAACGGCAGCACAAAGAATGAGGGGATGAATGGAAGTAAACTGCTGTAAAGATCAAGGAACAAAAAAGAAATCACAAGGGCAATCAGAAAATATTTTGAGTTGAATGATGGTGAAAACAAATCAAAGTCTGGAATACAATCAAAGCAGTGATTAGAAAGAAATATATAGCCTTCAATGCTAATATAAGAAAGGGAAGATTTGAAATTAATGATCTGTGCATTCACTTTGAGAAGCCAGAGAAAAATTAAAGCCAAACTAGCATAAAAGGAAATAAGAGCAAAAGTCAATGAGATAGAAAACAGAAAATTAAACAGTTGGTTCTCTGACAAACCACTAACAACACTGATCAAGAATAAAAAAAAATTAATGAACATTATTATATATGAAAAGAGATCATTGCTAGATATCCTCCAGACATGAAAAAGAAATTAAGGAAATATTATGAAAAGCTTTGTTATTGACATAAATTCAACTAAGACTAGATGATTTTGAAACAATTCCTTGAACAATACAACTTATCACAACTGATACACAGAAAAAACTGTTAAAAAAAACTAACTAAAAATCTTCTCACAAAATGCCAGCCCCCAAACTGGAAAAAACCCAAATTCTCATCAAGTGGAAAAAATATAAACAAATAAAATCAGCAATAAAAAGGAATGAGCAACACACACACACACACACACACACACACACACAAGGATGAATCTCAAATGTGTTATGGAGAACAAATAATCAGACACAAGACTCTGTATGATTCCATTTTTGGGCATACAGAATAGGTAAAACCAAGCTACAGTGAAAGAAATCAGGACAGTGGTCACAAAAGGTGAGTGAGGTGCCTGGAAAGACACAAGGGAACTTTGTGGAACAAGCACTTTACTTTCACAGGTGTTATTAAATGGGTATGCATTTGTCCACTCAAGTGCACCCTTAAAATCTACATATCTCAGGGTATATGAACTACGCCTAAAAAAAATAAAAAAAGTATACCAAGATGTTTCCACATCTCTCAGTGAGCCAACATGTTGTTTCCCCTTAAGAAATCTAGAATTAGTTCTAATTTGAAACTATGTTTTTATTTAATTATGGTACTTTTTCAGTACCTTTAAATCCACGGTGGGCTCAATCTTTTTAACAGTATTTCACTACAGGAATGTACCACAATTTTATCATTTCTCAATGACGCATACTTTGGTTCTTTTATAAACTTTTTTGTTTAGGACAAACGAAAAACATTTCATTAAAATAAAGCCAAGTTCTGTAAATGAAGAACAATTTTTTTCCAGCTTATTTTGTTGGTATAAAAACACTAAGTTTCAAAAACTCAAAATTTAATTGTGGTTTTTTCAATTAAGAATATAATCAGGAACCACTCAACACAGAAGAAACTTTAGATAAAGGATATTTCTTTTACCCACGTAGATTCCCCAGGCACTGGGACACAATAGAAAGTCTGTCTTTCCAAAGTGGTAGTTCGTGGGGAGTTTAAATCAACTTCTTGTTGAGGCTGTGATATACACAAAAAGCATATTTAAAGTTTTATTAAGAAAAACAAAAACAAAACTTTAATTAGCAAACCACATATTCATGTTATTTACAAAACCACAGTAAATACTTCACATTAAGAATTAAAAACTAAATACCAAACCCAAACCCATTAAAAAAAAAAAGGACATAAAATCATTTCACATGCAACCATCAATATACTACCTTCCCTTAAGTCCATAATACATCTCACCCTGTCACAAAATTAAATCTTTTAATAAACAGGATACTTTATTTTTTTCAAAGACAAAGCACTGTCTCTTTCATAGACCATAGCAGTATCAGCCTATAAAATAGGAACTTAATGAAATATTCATTAGCAGTAACTCTGACATGAGATTTCAGTCAGATATTATTCCCCAGAAAAGGAATGTTCTCCATTTCAAATATAATGAGAAAATCCTAAGACACAGAAAGAACCCAAGATGTAATATTAAAATATTACTTCAATAAGCACATATTGAGTACATATATTACCAAAAAATCTCTTAAAAGTAAAATAAAATGTATATTCCATTTTGGTGGTGGGGGGAGGGACCCAAGACACATCAAGTTTCACCTGAGCTAGTATGTACAAGCAGGGCTTTCTATGTGTTTCTTTCTTTCCAGGACCAAAGTATTCCTGGTTTGGTGCTTCTACTTATTCTTTCTAGCAACACAATACAAACTCTTTGCCTTCAGCAGTGTCACACGTGGACAGACTCACCTATTTTACTTTCCTATTTCCAGATGCTGAGATTACTAGTTTATGGCGATACTCCATTACCGTGTATTGATAGATGAGGCTAATATGGCTAAGGGCTCCTCAAACAAGGGCCACAGCAACTATTTGTAAAGTTGACACATTAGACTTGGCACCACATTTTACTTTATGGAAACACTCTCAAAGAAAAAAGACACTGGGAGACCTCGAGTTCATTATGTGTTAAGATTAGCAAATCCAACTCTCATGAGTTCCCCTAAATAATTATATGAAGTTACATTTTTGTTTTATAGAATCTTTGCAGCAACCTTCCATATTAGGGCTGTTCTGCCATCCAGACTGGCCCTGAGCTAGGACATTTTAATCAGGCACAGCTTCTACTATGAGTAAATGTGCTGGTATTAGGGCTTACAAATCAATCTCTTGAAGTTTGGGTAAGCAGGAGTCAGACTCCCAGTATGTAAAAAGCCCCACATAATGTGATTAAACTGGGAGTCTGGATCACCAAAGCAGAGAACTAGACCCAGAATGGGGGGGGGGCCTCCACCAATGTGCCACCTTTCTACTTAAGCACCTGCTGATCAATCCCCACCTGTGATACTTGTTTTTTTCCCCTCAACAACTGACAATTACCACCAGTTTCAGTAGAACCACACAAAAAAACAACTTTTAAAAAATGCAGATATACTATAGTGCCTCTATAACTGCTTTTCTAGTAAGTTTCTACCTCAAGACTATCCCTTTCATAACCACAGTTATATCCAGTGTCCTCTACCTTCTTGCCTCTCCCATTACTGATATGTAAGTTTCCCTTACTTCTCTTTATCAAAGAAAGTTTAAATTTATTAAAAACTTTCTTCCTCCTAGGAAAAAGCTGCAGGACTTAATGAAATTTAATTAAGCAAGTGTTAAGCCCTAAGTTAATCTTCCACTTTTACTTTAAAAGAATTTACCATAACCCTCTAATTTTGAAACCAAGTGTACAGATATAAGGAAAAGAAAGGAATTAGTTATTTACAATACTCCACCTTTTAAGAGATTTTTAAAAGATCAAAAACTTTAACAGAGAAGCTTAAATAAAAGGTAAATAAAACATTTCACAGGACTTCTTAGAACTTATTTACACACAAAATAAATACACTTAAGATCAACCAAAAGAAATAAATTCGCTGCTTAAGAAGTTCTTAAGATGTTTTATATCTTAAGGATACATACCCCGCACTCTGCTACATCTCTGTATTTTCCAAAATGAAGGACCTATGATCCAAAACAAAGGATAACAGCATATCAGTACATCTGAATCAAAACTACCATAAACACAAGGATAAAATACCACTAATTATAAACAGAAATTTTCATGAAAAAAAGCAATACATACACGTGCTTTTGTGTTTCGGTTAACCGTTTCATAAACTCCCATGTAAAACTCAGGGTCAAACATATCCTGAATCATGCAACGAAACTTCACAAAACTGTTAGGTTTCAAATAATGAAGGGGAACTTCATTCAGTGATGGTACCTGAAAGGAAAACAAGTCAATAAACTATTCTTATCTGTAGAATGTTAAGCACATATACAGAGGCTGTATATCCAGAAACGCCCCCCCCGCACCACCTCCCACCAAGCCCCATTAGGAAGCCAGTGATCTCAACAGTCAACATAACAAAAGTGCTGGACACAAAAGTATTTTTTATGTTCTTCCAAGTTTGTATAATGACATCTGACTTTAACGTAAAAGGACGCTCTTCCTTAAAAACACTTCTCAAGCAGCAGAAGGGCATTTGCTTTGTTGAGCTCTTCGCTTAAGAGTAGTACATGCCACTTTTCTTTAAATGAAGGTAATAAAGGTATTCAGGACTCACAATTACTGATTTTTTTGGTCTTAGAAATTAACACGGTCAAACACTGCCACCTAGAGGCTCCAACACAGAAGCACGGAATCGCTTGAATCTAAAATTTCATTTGGAAAAGTGCAAAATCTTTTAATACATATGCACTTAAGCGGAAGACACTACACATGAATATATACAGTTTAAAATTTTAGCGCTTACTTCAGCAGCACATATACTAAAATTCTGTGTGGATTACCACTCCACTGAGAGAAACTGAAAGCCCAACCCTCTCCTCTGAAAATAGCAATAAACTTACCCATTTAGGAGCGTTATTTTCCTTCAGCTTTTCCTTAAAATATTCAATTACTTTCTTCTCCCAGTCAGGATTAACTCCATTTTGGGCTGAAAGAAAAACGGACTTTTCAGAGCCAAAGGGACAATAGCTGACAAGACTATGTTCAGGTCACAACCTCGTGGAGCGCTGCCACACTGGGCACTCGGGAAGCTGTCCTGTTGAGGGGTTGGTACAACACTGGGCAGTGCTGGCCTGGCGCAGGCTCTCAGGAGCCAACAACCTAGTTGAGAATTCCCACAGAATGAGATAGGAAGCTACCTGGACAAAGCACAGTGCTCTTTGGAAACATTTTTATACAGATTTTCTCTTTATAACTACCCTGAAATGAAAAGGTGTTCTAATTTTTTTTTTTCAATTTGGGAATAATTTCAAACTTTCAAGAAAATCACATGAATAGTACAAAGAATACTTTGTACTTTCTGCTGTATCTTTGCTCCATTTGCTTTATCTCATCCCTCGTATGTATTTTCCTGACCCGTCTGAGATTAAGTTAGACACATCATATACCCTTGCGTCTAAGTATTTCCATGTGTGTTTCCTAAGAACAAAGAGATTATCTTACATAGCTAACAGTACTGTTACCCACCTCGGGAAATTCAAAACCGATACCCCACTTTCTCTCTAACCTACCACCACACTCCCGACGCTGCCCGACTGCCCTTTTTCCTCGTCAGTACAGGAGCCAGTCTAGGATCACATATTGCTCATAGCTCTCATGTCCCTCTAATCTCCTTTAGTCTGAACAGTCCCTCAATCTTTCCTTATCTGTGTTTTATGACATTCATGTTTAAGGAGTACAAAACCTGTAAAAGAAATATAGAATGCTCACTTTGGGTTTGTCTGATGTTCACTAGGATCAGACCGCGGTTGTGCACTATCAGTCAGACTGTTCCATTAGTGATGCTGTGTCCTTGTCATGGAATCATCTAGAGACAAGAGGTCCGTCTTCCCTCACTGATGATGTTCACTTTAATCACCCAGTCAGAATGACAGCCAGTCTCCTGACAGTAGGTTACTTCGTTCCCTTTGCAACCAGTAAGTAACCTGCCAGAGACACTTGAAGACCATGCAAAAAGTTTTATGACTCTTGCCCCAACCCAGTTATAGCAGCCACTGACAACTCTTATCATGAGTGAAAAATGATGAGAAAGCTGTTTTTAATGTCATATTAAAAATAAGAAAACCAGGGCACCTGGCTGGCTCAGCTGGCAGAGCATGTGACTCTTAATCTCAGGGCTTTAAGTCCAAGCTGCACGTTGGGTATATAGATTACTTAAAAACAAAACCTTAAAAAAAAAAAGGTAAGAAAACCATGGCTTTGGGGAAAAAATTATGGGAACTGGTCAAGACCAAAGAAAACCATTGCCAGAATCAGGAACACCTATTTTGAGAGAGCGAGCAAACCACGCAGCTAGCCGATACTTCCGCCATTTATATTCATCCCTAGGTGCTCTGCAGATGTGAAGTAAAGGAACTGTCTCTATTTGTTACAGAGCTGATTGTTAGAAATACTCATAAAATCCCACTAACACCATGCTTAGCGGGGCTTCCAAACACTTTTACAAAATTGAGCAAAATCTAGTTCTGGAAAAGGGGCGGGGGATAAACTCCTCAAGTGATTCTGATGTGGAATGAGGGTTCAATTCACTAGTAAACTGGTCCTCGACCACCAGCATTAGAATCACCTGAATAGGTGTTATAAATGCAAAGTTTTCAGCCCATCACAGACACACCGAATCAGAAATTCTGGAGGTGAGGCCTAGCATTTGATGTTCTAAAGTGCCTGCTAAGTGGTTCTGCAGTGCCGGTCCCTTTCTGCTGGCCATGCCCCCTCCGTGGGGCAGCCTGGCACCTAGCCAGAATGGCATGACTCTGGAGTCCCACTTTCACAAGGACTGGCAAAGGTGCATGGCCACATGGTTCAACCAGCCAGCACGGAAAATCCACAGACAAAAGGCCTGACGCATCACCCAGGCCCTGGACCCCTCCAGCCCAAGGTGAGGTGCCCCACTGTGAAGCATTACACCAAAATGAGAGCTGCCAGGGGCTTCAGCTCAGAAGTTACGAGTGGCTGGCATCTACCAGAAGGTGGCATGGACCACTGGGATTTCAGTGGATGCAAGAAGGCAAAACAAGTCCACAGAGTCCTTGAAGGCTAGCACACAGCAGCTGTGGGGCACTATTCGAAGCCCACCCCTTCCCAGGAAGTCGTTGGTCCCCAAGCAAGGAGAGAGGTCAGCTGAAGACCTCAAACTGGCTACCCAGCTGACAGGACCCGTCATGCCGACATGCAATGTCTATGAGAAGGAGAAAGCCAGAGGCACAACGGAGGAGAGCCGCAAGGCGCTGGCCAGCGTTCACATGGCCTGCGTCCGTGCCCGGCTCTGGCACCCGGGCAAGCAAAGAGGGCCAAGGAAGCTGCAGAACAGGATGCTGAGAAGAAAAAATAAGTGCCACTGGCAAATTGTGACAAAAAATAGTACAAATATATAAATAAAATGCCCTCTGATTCTGATGCACACTAAAGTCTGAGAACCACTATGACTAAAGCCAATAAAGGACAACTGAATTCGAAAAAAAAAGAATGTGTGTTTTTGCTTCCACTGAAAATGGGTATTAAAGAAAAGGCCGATACACAGTCATGACAGCACACCAACACTGCTGTTCTGACTGCACTTGTGTAAGACACATGAACATGCTTGGGGAGGCTGGTGGGCTGGCTGGCTGGTTCGACTGGTGGAGCATGTGACTCTTGATCTCAGGGTGGTGAGTTCAAACCCCACACTGGGTGCAGATAAAATAAAGGAAATAAAGGGGAAAAAAAAAGAAAGAAAGAAAATGAACAAACAAACATGACCATGCCACCTAACAGATGCTGAAGCCTTTTCAGAGACCGGCCGGGAGGCAGGAAGATGTGTGTATACAGACCGGATTTTCCCCAAGGCCACCTTACAAATATCTGGTACTGCTAGACAATTAAAGGACTGCAAACAGGTAATTAAAAAAATCAAGCGTGCAATAACTGTCCATTATTTATTAAGCCTACGGTGTGTCTGGCACTCCACTAGGTTCAATAAGGACATTGAGAGCTGACAAACTTAAAGAAAAGTGGTGAACAGAGAATAACAGCCAAAAGCAAGGAGGTCAAATAATCTCAGAGAGGGTTTCTTGATGGAGGGGGTACTTGAGCTGGGCCTTGAAAGAGGGGTAGACCTGAAACATGCTGATGTCTAAGAAATTTGTGTATTCCAGACATAAAGCCAGGACAAGGATGGCCCTACCAGATATTCAAGTACACAGAGCACTCAAGGTCGGAAGCTGCACGTCACACCCAGGACTAAGTTCTGCCTCAAAATTAAGCCATTTCAGAGGAAAACAGCAGACACGGCTTAATTATTTGGCTTAACTGACAGCCTGACCTAACCCACTCATGAATTTGATTACCCAAGATTATTTATTCACCATTTTGAGTTTAAGTAGGATCAAGTTGGGTCACTTGCAACCAAGAATCCTGGTAATTAGCACACGCATATCACTTTATCATTATTTGCTATGAATTCTTGGCCATCTGAATTTGAGCATCATCACACTCAATCACTCAATCTTGATCTAGTTTAAGAGTCAAAGGAACTAGGAAAAAATATATAGGCTCTCACCAACAGTGTATGAGCTTTAGTTGGTTCTACCTCGCCAATACTTGACCTTGTCAATCTTAATCCTAGTCATTCTGCTGAATACATACTGATATGTCACTGTGGTCTTAATATGCATTTTCCTAGTGACATTGTACACTTTTCATGTTTATTGACCATTTCAACGAATTCTTTTGTGAGATGCCTAGTCACAATTTTGCCCATTTTTTAAAAATGGTTTTGTTGTGGCATCACTGATTGTACTAATTCTTTGTGTATTCTAGACATGTCTTAAGTCAGATATATATGTAGAGCACATTTTTCTCCTAATCTGTACTTTGTTTTTTAATATTCTTTTATGTCTTTTGATAAGAAGTTTTTCATTTTGATTAAGTCCAATTTGCCAAGTTTTTCTTTCATAGTTACAGACCCCAAGGTCATGAAGATGTTCTCCTAGGTTTTTTGTTTTTCACATTTAGGTCTGTAACTGACACCAAATTAATCTTTTTGTTTATATTGTGACATAGGGGTCAAGGCTCATTTTTTGCCAAAAAAGATCCACTTGTTCCAGCATTAATTAAAAGGCTTTCTTTCTAGCACCGAATTGTTTTGGCATTTGTGTCAAAAATCAACTCACTGTACTTGTTAGCCCATTTCTACATTCTCTATAATGTTACACTGATCTATTTGTCTATCTTTATGCTGCCTTAATACTATAGTCATACTGTGTTAACCACTACAGCTTGACCTTGAGTCTTAAAATCAAGTACTTAAGTTCTTCAAGTTTGTCTTGATTATTCCCATCCTCAACATGTCTAATTTTGAGGACCACGTTATTGACTTCTGTGTAGTCTGCTAAAATTTTGATAAGAGTTGTGTTGAATCTACAGATTAATTTGAGGAGAACAGACATTTTAACAAAACTGAGTCTTCCAATCTATGAATTCTCCATGGGAGAGAAAATAAAGGGGCCTACACACAGATTCCTCGACTCTACCTGTCTCTTTTTCCCTTATGATCCAGCTGTATATCTTCACTATTCTGCTGTAATAAATCTTAGCCTTGAATACAAATATATATGGAGTCACAGTAAGTCCTTTTAGTGAATCTCTGAAGAAAGAAGTGACCCTGGGAACCCCAACACATGAGTATATTAATGGTTCATTTCTTTTAATTGCTGAATAGTATTCCATGGTATAGCTGAGTGACAATGTTTCTCCATTTAGTTGTTGAAGAACATTTGAATTGTCTCCAGATCTAATAGCTATGAACAAAAACAAATACAAACATTTGTCAACAAGTTTTGTGTGAACATAAGCTTTCATTTCTCTAGGTAAAAACCTAGGAATGGGACAGTTGGGTACATGGTAAGTGTATGATTAATTTTTAAGATTTTGCCTGTGTTCCAGAATGGC